GGTCTGTCTCATTAATTTTTTTTTTTTCTTTTGTGACCGTACTGGTGATTGAACTTAGAACCCTGTACTTGCCAGGCAGGCAAATATTCCACTGTGCTATCTCCCTGGCCCTGTCTCATTAATCTTAATCTCTTTGTTTAGGAGAGAGAAGGCAATTGTGCTATCACTTAAGGCCCACTGAGTATAGTTAGTTAGTCTTGATATGTGTCATGCAACGTTTTCTCTAGACAAGACTGGGTGGATCCCAGTAAAATGAATTTAAAAGTAATCTAGCATATTTGTTATAGGTTTTAACTGTCTGATTACCTGGGGTCTGGCATCCTCTAGGCAAGAATAAATTTTCTGAGAAATTAGAGCATGTATAACCAAAGCACAAGCACTAAGAACTTACAGATAAGTTTAGAAACTATTTTTAAGGGTTAGCAATTATAACCCACTGGCTCATTAGACCCCTTTATTGATGAATTCTAACATTTTGTCATTAAGTCCCTCTAACTTTAGTTATAATTATCTCTAAATTTTTGATGACCTTATGAAAGCCAGATTAATACCTTATTACTCTTTTTTACTGTCAGTGATGTAAGTACTTGCATGTTTTTAAACTCAAAAGTTACTGTCTTTTAAACTTAAGACTTAGAAATTCACAGAATATTTGCAGTAAGAGAGTGGGGAAATGTTTTTGTCTTTCAATTTGAAAACACTTGTAAATACTGAAATTATGACATTCAAACATTTACCTATGTTCATGTTAAGTAGATATGGGAGGTAAACACAAAGATTGGACACACTATGTACATTTCTTTTAAAGTGTATGTATGATATTTCATAAATCAAAACATTTTATTATAAAACATTAGGCAATGTTAATTTTGAGTTATGCAGTCTGAACGGTCATACCTATATTTACCATCAGCATGAAGTACCAGGAGTTACATCAGGGACCAACCAGATGGACTCATACACAGTTACAACATAGACAGCATTTAGTGTATGTAGCATTTTATCCAGTATTTAACAGGGTAAAATCATCTCCGGTGCTGTGATGAAACCAATGTCCCATTCAGTGCTTCTGGTACGGCACCTGGGTGTCAGCAAGAGCCCTGCCACTGAGTTTTGTGCCAAAGATAAGGCCTGGCTCCGTCTATAGGCCCAAAGCCATTGCACACCTTGCAGCCAGTGTTTTTAGACTTTTTTCTTTTACCCTGACAAGATTCTGTCTGCCCTTGGGAACCTGCTTTGACCAATGAAATACTCTTTAAGTTTTTGTATGTGAATAACAATATTGTATATTTTTTCAATATGTATTATATTTGTGTAAGCCAGTCTCAGCATCATTTTGATTAGTTGGCAACCTGAATATATATGATAGTATTTAACTCTCTCAGATGAAATCTCTCCAGGATGACAGAGCTGGGCTTTTAGGCATAACTAAGAGGAATGGGTGGGGCCGGGGAGATGGCTCAGTAGAATAAGTGCTTATATATTAATATAATTTTATATGCCACAGATTATAACAAATCCATGAGTTCAATCTCTGGTTTCACAATAAAATAAATAAATAAATAAATAAAGGAATGGGTGAAGAGAAAGTCATCCCAACTACAACTTATGTGAGATTTTTAAATGACTTTTTATTGCAGTATGGCGCTAGAAGGAAGGCCAGCATTGGAAAAGGACAAAGAGACCTATGCCAATGTCCCGCAATAGGCTGGGGTTTTTCCCCTAGTCATGATTACTCAGGGCTCCTGTGTGGAAAAGACAGGTAGAGGTAACAGCCAGAGCGAGGAGGCAGCCCCAGGGCCCTCCCTCTTTGTGTTGTCTCCCTCCAGAGGCCACCTCAGCAGTCAGGCCTTGGCTGGGGGACCTCTTATTAGAGCAGTCCCTCTTAAGGTGGCCTGGCTTTTGACAGGGATAGCAGATGAATGTAGTGGTTGAGTTCTTGGAGCCCCAAGAGTCAAACTTAGGGTCTGCTTCTCAGTGCTACAGCAAATGCAGCCACTTTTTCCCGGTCTCTTTGGCCTCTTCTTCATCACAGTTATAAAATACTGAGGAAGCAGTTTTTACTAACATCAAGTGGGCTATATGAAGCAAAAGCCATCTTCTGTAGCTTTTTTCTAATAACTGAGGTTGATTGAGTAATGAACTTATCCTTAAGAATAATTTGTCCTTCTACTGAATTAGGATCCAGGGAAGTATATTTTACCAGTGCTTCTATTAAATATTTTAAGAAAGCAGAGGGTTTTCATCTTTCTCTTGATAAATAGGCTGAAAATTTAAAATAACTAGAAGGCTTTATTTTAGTTCTTAGACCTGTAAAAATACACACTGGAAAATGTCTCCTGTTTTAATCTCCTGGGCTGTTAGGCCAGCAGGGGTCTTAGGTAGGGACTGCTAGGGCTGTAGTGGGAAATGGTTGTTTCCCTGACTATTTTCTGGTTGTTTAAAAATTAAAAATATGATATTTAGCCCCAAATGTAATAGCAACTTGGAATGCTGCCTATCTCTCATTAGAGGTCAGTGTTAAGAGTAACATTATATCTGCCTACAATATTAGCTCCACAGGTTTTATTGAGTACTACTTTGCCACAGTAAATCCCGGGCTCCGGGTGAGGCATGCGAGGATCCATGCATCCTCGTGGGAGGAGGCTGACAAGACCCAAAGGAGCACTGTGATTTCTGAAGTCCCCAAGTGAGGTGAAGACAAAGACGCTTGTAGTTTAGAAACATCACCCTGGCTGCCATGTGGAGATTACAGTGTAGGGAGAAAGCAGGAGGCTAGAAGGTCCCCTTGGGCAGTAGTGCGACTTTGGGAGCAAGGGGATAGTACCTTGGACTAGGATGGTAGCTCTGGAGAGGGAAAGAAGCAGGTGGACGTGGAGTCTATTTAGGAGATAGAGCTTGCAGATAGGATGGAAGAGGATGCAGAAAGAGGAACCTGGAGCTTGGGCTGCAGTATCAGGCAGCTAATGGTGCTGTTAGTTGGGGCTGAGGAGGCTAAAAGATGAACTGGGATTGGAGATATGGACATTAAAGGTTCTGGTTTTGCTGTGTGATATTTGAGATGACCATGAGAGGCCCAGATAGAGCCTGTAGTGGGGAAAACAGGGTGGGATAAATTGTGCAAGTTGTTGGTGTGTAAGTGGTGTCCAAGGACTGAGGAAATCACAGAAGCTCTGGGTTTTGAAGTGGTGCTTTTCAGCTGGAGACACTACTGCCCCCCTCCTTCTAGGGGCATGTGGCGGCAGCGTCTGGGATACTTTTTGTTAGAGCTGAAGGAGAATTGCCCCTGGCCTGGACTGGTGGAGGCCAGGGATGCTGGTAAACATGTTATAAACAAGTTATCTGACCCCAAAAGTCTGTGGCACCGAGGTTAAGACACCCTGTCCTAGAATGAGAAAGGAAAATATTTTTCAGTCCAGGGTCTGGACAAGAAGAAGACCCTCCAGCAGAGAAGACCGAAGAACAACTTGAGGGAGACGAGGGAAGCCTGAAGGATGTGGAGTCTTGAGAGGGGAGTGTGTTTGGAGCAGGAAGATTTCTCGGCCTTATCACATGCTTTGAAGAGGCTGAGTCATTTGTGCGCAGAGAGGGTGACTAATGGTTTAAGGGAAAGGGACACTCTTGATGATCGTACGTGACCAGTTTCTATGGTTTGTCTAGGTCAGAAGTTCCAGGGTAGAAGGTTACTCTGATAGGCACGGCTTGCTAAATCATTTCCTCCCTGCTCAGAATCCCTTTCCTAGGTAACTTCCTTAACCCACACACAGCAGGTGGGTACTTTTATACTTATTTTACAGAAGGTGCAATACTGTTATTGCCCCAACTTTAGAGATGATGGAAACTGAGGCACAGAGAGGTAAATTATTCTCCATGGCTAGGAGAATAACTTCAGCATTCGACATGACTGAAGTTGGGCGAGTGGAGGCAGTGAACAGACTTGGTGTATTTGAGAAGCCTTCTTAAAAAGGGGGCCAGAGATGTCACAGGGACAAGAGGATGTTTGTGTGCCAATGGGAAAAGTCCACATGGAGGCTGGGAGGTGGGAGAGCTGAGGACCAAGGTCTGAGGGGAGTCTGACCCTTCCTAGAGCTTTGAACCAGTTATGCCGAGACTGGAGCAAGGTTACCCCTGCTCTCGGCTTCTCTCCCACCTGCCCACTACTGGCCTCCACAGCACACCACTTCTACATTCTGGGTTACCCCCTTTTATAGGATGCAGGTCTAATCCTTGTAGAAACACTGCCTAGGAGTCCTCCATCCTAAGAGCAGCTCAGCTCTGCCGTCAGGGGCCAGAGCTGCCCACTGAACGCATCAGCAATTCTCTGCCTGACCCTGTCATGGTCCTTAGCACAGTCTCTGAGCCCCGGCCGGGCTCTTTTGACTCAGGGGCTGGGGTTGCTCCTGCTCCCAAGAAAATGTTCTTTTCTCCTGTACCTTTCTTCTGCCTCTGTCTTGCCCAACCTCCTGTCTGCCTGGGTAGCAGGCACATCCTTAGCCCTTTTCTGGTTCCCAAGTAGGTGAGGACCCTATTGACTGCTACCCTGATAGTGTGCTTATGCTTTTATAGTGTTCTAGTCCGCAAGCTACCTGTACTACTTTTTCCTTTGAGTTTGATGTCTTCATTCCATGCTAGAATGTAACCTCCATTAAGATAGGTTTTGCTCCTCTTGGTTATTTCCATGGTTTTGTTCAGTAATTACTTACAAAATGAGCAAATGTATTGTTGACTGTTTTACTACCTACTTGGTATGTGAGCTTTGATTAAAAAAAACCAGTGGATGTTTACATTTTTAAAAATTACAAGGAAAGACGGATTGCCACTTATCCTTTCTCAATAGGACCCTCCCTTGAGCACACTTAATCCCATCATTTTGGCCACTTTGTGAAACACTGTGGAAGCCCTCTCTTGCAAATGTCCTTAGTTGTGCTGTTGTGACTGCCTTGATGTCCTGAATTGATTTAAAACATTTCCCTCTCATAGTCTTTTTGACTTTTTGGAAGAGCCAGAAGCCACACAGTGCCAGACCTGGTGAATTAGGTGGAGGAGGACACACTGTAACGTTTTGGTGAGTCTGCCTTTCTGCTGGCTGACGCTCGGCAGCAGCGTTCATCATGTTTCTCATCGTACCTTATAAAGCGCTTCACAAAAGACTGCCAGAGCTGCTTCAGAAATTGGCAACAATAATGGGATAAGTGTCTTCAATGTGGAGCGCATTGAGGGGGATTAATGACAGTATATCTTTTGCATATAAATAATACATTTGGCCAAGCAATGGCCGTGACTCATCCACATGGCTGCACTGACAAAGGTTCTACAATCTCAGTACAGGATCTCAGTATAAATCCTGAGAGGATTTCACTGACCTTCTCAGACCAAAAAGCTACAACTCTTATTGCACAGGTCCTGCTTTACCTTGGTCTTAACCATCCAGTAGAAAAGTATGAAGACGAAATATAGGAAATAAAGCCATGCTGTTATGTTGAGCTGTGGGGGACTCAGGTCAATAATTTCTGACATTGCCAGTTAAACAGAAGACCCAATGCTATTATGGGCTACTGGACTCTTTTAGAATATTTTGCTGAGTTTACACACCTATAATATTCAATAACGGAACTTAGAAAAAATAGGGTATACAGATGAATGTCCATTTTGTATCTGTGTATTCAAAGTAGTTAGGATAGATATATAGTTGCATTCTCTTAATGAATAGAATGATTTGTTCTAATGGTGTTTGTAAATAGGATCTCAAGTCCGCATCTTGTACAGCAATTAACCACTAAGAAGAATAAATGCAGTGTGCTATTTGTTGAAACTGTACTTCCGATTTGATTTGAAACTGTCTCATTGGTGTTTATCAATAAAATTTTGAAAAAAAAAATGTCACAGGACTGTCATGCTGCAATGCTGTTTATGGTTAGATTTCTAAATTTCTGTGTAGAAATATGTAATTATTTATTCATATTCTTTAAATATTTTTCATTTTTTAAATTTTTATCTCCATATTCTGTAAGGACTTAAAGTTTAACATATCAATACTTGATGGAAAAAAAATACATTTAACTGGTTTAATATTCACCATATTTTTGATTATTATGTGTGGCTCCATATCTTGTGTTTGATAGTTTTTTCTGCTGTGTACACATTTCTTCATTATTATTATTATTATTATTATTTTGTATGTGTGTGTGTGTGCAAGGTCTCACTACACAGCTCGAACTTGTAGTGATCCTCCTGTTTTCAGCCTCCGTAGTTATGGTTTGTGTCTAGGTGTCCCCCCAAAGCCTCATACAGTCTTGGGGCAGCTTCTAGAGTTGTGACTGATTACTGTGGGTGTGGATGCTGCACCTGCCCTGGGGCAGGTAATTTGCATTACAATGTAAGGAGGGAAGAGAAGCTAGTTGCTTGAGCTGCTCCTACCCCTCCCTCGCTCTTGCTCTTTGCCACCACCATGAAAGGTTGCCCTCTGCTGTGTGCCGCTGTGCCTTGGAGCCAGCTGAGTGTGGACTGAAACCTCCAGTGACTGTGAGCTAAAGAAACCTTTCCTTCCTTCATTTTGAGTGTCGGGTATTTGTCCCAGCAACGAGTGAAGAGTAACTAAAACACTAGTGCTGTGATTACAGGCATGTACCACCACACCTGGATTAGGTCACAGGCTCAGCACACCTCGGGGTGGGGTCTGTGTGGCACAGATCAAACCCCGGCTCCTGCACTTGCCTAAAGAGACACTTAGTCTAATGGGCTGTCTCGCCAGCCCTTCACTATAAATTTGTATTATTTAATTTATTTATTCTTTTTGTGCCTGGCTCAGCCCATGCTGGGGGTGGGGCTGGGGTGGCATTTGGTGCTGGGAATCCAACTGTGGTCCCTGCGCATTTGCCTAAGCAGGTACTTTAGACCACTGAGCTATCTTGCCAGCCCTAATTTTTAAAAAAATTTAAAATTTATTTATTTATTTATTTGATACAGAGTCTTGCTATGCAGCTCAGACTCATAGTGATCCTCCTGTCTTAGCCTCCCCAGTTTTAGCATTACAGGAGTGCTTCACCACACCTGGTTTCAGTGGCTGGCTTGGCGCAGGGCCAGCCTGACATTCAGTCCTGGGGACTGAACTCGGGTCCTCGCGCTTGCCAGGCAGGCGCTTAGACCACTGAGGTATCTCCCCAGGCCCTTTACTATGAATTTTTGAAGTCTTCTTGATTATTACTAAGTTTGAATGTATGTTATGAAAGTATTTAATTCAGTATCCTCTTTTGTGGTCATTCATCATAACTAGAAAGCAGTATGTTAAACTTGTACATTATCCATTTTTCCTACTAGGATGGCTGATTTGGTTTTTTGTGAACCAACAGAGCTTTACAACATCTTGAATCAGGTCACAAAACTGTCCAGATTAATTGAACCCAACTATCTCTGTTTATTTGGTAAGTATATGAGCAGGCACACAAACAGCCTGAGTTTTAACAGATTAATACCTGTGGAGAGTTGTTAGGTTTGTTGGCTCAAATGTTACTTTTTACTAGTATAGTATATGACTTGTGAATCTTCCCAAATTAGTTCCAGAAATTTCCAGAAAATGTGTTCTAAGTCCTCTTGTTACTGTTTTAATAAGCTATTTTATTTTTTGGAACCGGGGATTGAACTCAGGCCCTTGCACTTGCCAGGGAAGCACTTATTCCACCGAGCCATCTCCCCGGCCCCTTAATAAGCTATTTTAAACATCACGTGCGTAGTAGTATTGATGGATACCCATGTACTTCGATTCAGTTTTGACATAGAAATAAAATAAACACAGATATACCCCTTTTGTATCACATTATGATTGCGTTTTTCTTTCCCCAGGGACAGCTGCTTCCATGTTTTCACAGTTTTACTTCATACAAGTACTTTAAACATTCATGCAAATAGTACTGTTATGTCCACTCATTTTGCAACTTCGTTTATAGTACTTGGAATTGAAACCTAGACCTTCAACTGAGCTACGTGCCCAGCCCTTTTTTAGTTCTTATTTTGAGACAGGGTCTCTCTAAATTGCAAAGTTGTCCAGGCTGGGCTCAAACTCGTGATCTTACTGCGTCAGCCTCCCAGAGTGCCTATCTGCCATTACAGGTATGCACTGCTACACTTGCCTTTTTATTTTATACTGGGGATCAAACTCGGGACCTTGTGCTTGTCAGGCAGGTGCTTATGCCGCTGAGTCATCTCCCTGGCTTTTATGTTGTTTTTGTTGAAAAACATATTTTTGAGTTTTCCCATGTCTATATGTGATGTCCATTTAATTTACTTTCACTGTTAACTGAATCTGTATCTGCTCCCAATTGATTGCAATATATTGTTCTTATAAATAATGCTGCAGTGAGCAACTCTTCACATTTCTATTCCCATGTACAAG